TTTATTGAAGAGTTTAGTCCATTTACATTTAGAGTTAGTATTGATATGTTAGCATCTGTATTTGCCATTGTGTTTGTCTTTCCTTTGTTTTATAATTCATTTATTCTTTTAATAACTTTCTTTGGCCTTCTTTTGTTGTTATTCGTCCCTCTGAGGTTCTGGCTTTAGGACTCCTTGTAGTATTTTTTGGAGTGGGGGTTTAGTCGTAATAAAATTCCAGAGTTTCTGTTTGTCTGAGAAGGTCCTTATTCTTTCTTCATAGAGGAAGGAGAGCTTTGCGGGATAGAGTATTCTTGGTTGGCATCTGTTTTCTTGGAGTCTGTTGACTATGTCCCTCCACTCTCTCCTTGCCCGTAGTGTTTCTTCAGAGAAGTCTGATGTCAGTCTGATTGGTTTCCCTTTGAATGTTATCTGTTTCTTCCCTCTTGTCAGTTTCATTATTTTTTCCTTGTCTTGGATTCTTGGAAGCTTTACTATTATGTGTCTTGCTGTATTTTTCCTTTCGTCATGGAAGTTTGGTGTTCTTCTTGCTTCTTGCATATCAATTTTCAGCTCCTTCTTCGCGTTTGGGAAGTTCTCTTCAATTATATCCTTGAATATTTTCTCTGTTCCTACATCTCTCTCCTCTCCTTCGGGGATTCCTATAACTCTTATATTTCCTTTCCTCATGGAGTCAGATAGTTCCCGAAGTCTTTCTTCGGTCTTTTTCCTTCGTACTTCTCCTTCCTTTTCTGTTTTAGTTCTTTTTATTTCTCTGTCTTCAAGAGTACTTATTCGTTCTTCCATTTTATCTATTCTGCTTTCATTGCTTTTCCCAGAGTTCTTTAGTGTCTCCATTAATTCTTTGATCTCCTGCATTTCTTTTACTTCCCTCTTTAGGGATTCAATTTCATTCTTCTGGTCATTAATTATTTTCCCCTTATCATTGTTTTCCTTTATGACTTCTGTCAGTTTTTTAATCACAGCAATTTTAAATTCTCTATCTGGAAGGCTCAGAAGTTCTTCTAAGTTAGTCGTTGCAATCTGGTAGATGGTTTTCTTTTTGCGGTGTGCTTTTTTGCTGAGGAGTTGCTGGGTTGCATGTGGTTTTTCTACTCCCTACTGCCTGTTTTCTAATTTGCCGTATTCCTTGTGACACTGTGTTGCTGGTACTGGCCGGCATCTTGGGCGACCTTCCCAGCTCACCTCTGGCTCCTCTGGGGAACTTCTGCTGGGTTCACACAGTCTCCACCAAAGAAGGGTCCCTGCTGCAAATGCCGGTGCTAGGCACACTCCCCTGCACGCCCGGTCTGCCCCAGAGGTGGGTGCCCCTCTCCTCTGGGCTGGGACTGCAGGCTAGAAGGTGCCCGGCATGGGCAAGCCTCCCAGCTTACCTCTGGCTCCTTGGTGAGCCTTCTGCTTGTTTCACACAGTCTCCACCAAATAAAGGTCCCTGCTGCAAAATGGCGATGCGGGAATGCGCTCCCCTGCATGCCCGGTCTCCAATTTTCATTTTTTTAAAGATTTATTTATTTATGCATACAAGAACTGGGGCTTAAGCCTCAGGTGCGGGGGATGACAGGATTCACCAGAGAGAGTGGGGACCAGAACAGGCAATACACTGAAATGCACTGCTGAGTGGAATAGCCAGTGAGGCAGGAGAGATCTGCTGTGGGCCATGTGGGTTGCTCCCTGACTGGTGGCTGGCATAGCTTGATAGCGCTGTCTTTAACCCCTGCACCACCAGGGAGGCCCAATTTTCAATGTTTTATAAAATAACTTGAAAGCATATGTGAAAAATAATTTTGTTTTAATATTTATATTCATTTAATTTTATGAGCATTAATTTAAGATTTGTGGATTTTGAATATGATTACAATTTATATTTCAATCTTTTATATTCCCACTGTTAATAGTACAAATCCTATATGAAGATTTTTATTATAACAACATGGCAGGAGAGAAAAAATAAATTGCATTACATGAATATTCATAAGTTATGAATTGTATAAATTTATATTTTATTATCCATCCAGATACCATTGACTAATCAATAGAAAATAAGATTTATACTTTAGTAATTAAATTTAATTTTAATCTGCCAAAACACAGTCATAAAGTAACATAATTTAAACAGGCTTCTAACTTTTTTCAAGACAGGACAATATGTTTTATTTAACAGATTGTTAGTTAAACTTGGGAGTCCAAGACTCTTGCCAGACCCCCAAATTGTTAAGGATATGTCCATTTGATTTCTGGTACCAAATGTAAACTTTTATGTACATTTTTCATTTACATTATACAGGTTTACTATATAAATATAAATGTCTGATAGTAATATGTTCCTGGAGGGCTGACCATTTTGTGTTTTATGAAATCTCCCTCTTTATCACTGGTAATATTGCTTGACTTAAAATCTATTTGTTTTATCAATACTCCAGTTGCAGTAGCTTTCCTTTTAGTATTTTCACAGTAAACATTTAATTGTTTTACTTTCAATCTGTCTGTGTATTTTTCCTTTAATTGTGTCTTCCGATAAGTAGATTGTTGTATTTTTCCATGATGTATTGATAGTATGAACATCTTAAGTCTTTTACTTAAAGTGTAAGTAACTTAAATTTAATGTAATTTTGTACTATTGATGGGTATCTGCTATCTTAAATTTTATTTGACCCTCCTATTTTATATTCCTTTTCATCCTAACCTTTTTGATTTAATAACAATTTTAGATTAACTTTTTTCCTATTAACATACTGCTTACAGCTTCTTTTTTCTAACCTTACATTATAATCCTAGAAATTATAACATACATTTTTTACAGCATGCAGTCTAACATGTTTTTACTACTTCTGTAATACAAAATTCTTGCAATACTAACTTCATTTCCCCCTTTTAACTTTTGCATTTTGCAAATATTTGGAAAGTATAGCTTACTTTTACAGTTTAAAATTATGGAGCATAGTACCTCCAGTTTCGGTCATTTTCTGAAGTTTGCTTTCACTATCCAAGTGATTCCATGTAGAACCAATGTTCCACACAGATGTTCCATAGAAGGTAGAACTGTATTTTGGCACATAGGAGTTTTTGTTCTATTTCTTTGAAGAATGCCCCTGGGCTTTTGACAGGGATTGCATTAAATTTGTTTATTGCAAGTTAGGTAAAATGGCAATTTTAGCAGTGTTAATTACTTCAATTCATGAGCATTAAATTCTATTAATTTCTTTGTGCCTTCAATTTCTTTCAACAGTGACTTATAGCTTTCAGTGTACAAGAATGTCATTGTTTTGTTTAAATTTATTTCTAGGTACTATATAATTTTGGTGAGACTGTAAATGGTATTGTTTCCCTCATTTCTTTTTCAGATAGATTATTGGTTCATATAGAAATGCAACAGATAATTGTATATGGATTTTGTCGCCTACAACTTTCTGCATTTGTTTTATTATTTCTGACATTATTTTGATTGAGTCGATAGGGTTTCTACACATCACATCATCAACCAAATAGTGACAGTTTCCCTTCTTTTCTAATTTGTACACCTTTTATTTCCTGCCTAATGGTTCTGTCTGGTACTTCCAGTACTATGTTGTATAGTAATGGTGAGAATGGGCATCCTTATCTTGTTCCTGATCTTAGCAGAAAAGATTTCAGCTTTTCCCTGTTGAATAGGATGTGTGTAGGTCATGGGTTTGTCATATGTGGCATTATTCTCTTTAAGTACATTCTCTCTACACTCATTTTATTGAGACTTTTTATCATAAATGTATGCTAGATATTTTCAGATAATTTTTCTGCTTCTATCAAGATGTTTGTATGATATTTATCCTTCTTTTTTTTTTTTTATGTGGTATATTGCATAGATTGATTTTTGCATCTTGAACCAGTGTTGCAGTGCTGGAATAAATATCACTTGATTATGGTATATGACCCTTAAATATATTGTTGGATCCAGTTTTGATAATAATTTGTAGAAGATCTTCACGTCTTCTTGTGTTGTGTTCACATCTTCTTCTTGTGTTGATCATAGATTTGTGCTCTCGTTTTCTTTTTTTGTGATGTTCTTGTCTGATTTTGGTATCACATCAATTCTAGCTTCATAAAATCAGTTGGAAAGCATTCTGTCCTCATCAATTTCTAAGAAGAGTAGAGAATAATAGGTATTCAACTTTTTTAAAATATCTGGTAGAATTCACCAGTGAAACCATATAATCCTGGACTTTTTTTGGGGGGGGGTTGGTGTTCAATTAGTTTAATTTCCTTACTAATAATCTGTTAAGACTTTCTTTGTGTGATTCAGTCCTAGGGTATTGTATAATTCTTAGAATATTTCCATTCCTTCTAGGTTGTCCATTTTGTTGGCATATATATGTTCATAGTAGTCATTTATGATCTTATTTCTGTGATATCCATTGCAATTTTTCTTCTTTCAGTTCTGATTTATTTGAAACGTTTCTCCTTTTGTATTAATGAATCGGTCTAAAAGTTTGTCAATTTGTTTATTTTCTCAAAGAACCAGTTCTTGGTTTCATTGATCTTTTATATTGACTTTCTAGTAACTATTTCATTTATTTCCACGTGGATTTTATTTCCCTCTTTCTACATGCAATGGTATTTCCTTGCTCTTCTTTTTCTAGTTCCTTTATGTGTACAATTAGGTTGTTTGTGCTTTTTCTTATTTCTTAAGAATAGCTTGTATTATTATAAACTTCCCATTAGTATTTCTTTTACTGGGTCCCAGTGATTTTGATAGTGGTAATTTCATTGTCTCTAGGTATTCTTTCATTCCTCATTTCATTTCTTTTCTTGTTCCAATAGTTGTTCAGCAGCATGTTGTATAATCTCCACATATTTTTGATTTTTCTATATTCTTCTGCAAACCATTATTGGCCAGAAAAAGTGTTTGATATGATTTCAATCTTCTTAAATTTATTGAGATATATTTTGTGTCCCAACATATTATCTATCCTTGATAGTATTCTTTGTGTACTGAAAAGAATATATATTCTTCTGCCTTGGTGGATTTTTTTATAGAACGCTTCACAAATATGTTTGTCAGCCTTGTGCAGAGGCCAAGCTGATCTTCTCTGTATCATTCCAATTTTAGTATATGTGCTACTGAAATAAACACTATATTCTGTTGTTTTTCAGGTAGAATTTTCCCTATATAGTTAAGTCCATATGGTCTAATGTGTCATTTAAGGATAATGTTTACTTGTTTATGTTTGGAAAATCTATACGTTGATATAAGTGGGATGCTGTGTTGTTGTCAATTTCTCCCTTTATTTCTATTAATATATATACACATACATATATTTATACACACACATATGCACAACTATGTTGGATGGATATATATTAATGCCTGTTGAATCTTCTTGATGGATTAACCACTTTATCATTGTGTAATATTTTTGTCTTTAATTATGCTCTTTGTTTCAAGTCTGTTTTCTCTGATATTAGTATAAATGTACCAGATTTTGTTACTTTGCTTTTTATGTGATTATTTACTATTTGTATTTATTGCCATTTTTAAAATTGTGCTGTTGCTATTTTCATGCTTTGTCTTTGTTCCTTACTTCTTTTTCTCTCTTCATTTCTGTCTTCCAAAGAATACTTTTAGAGAACACCAAACAAATGTACAAATCATCTAAGATCTTGTTGGTTCAAATGAAAACTGTAGAAGGGCTATTGTATTGTAAATAATGGATTAGAGAAAAAGTTCACTACTTTGAGTTATAATGTCTTTAAAATATTTTAAAATAAATATATATACCTAGTAAGAGACAACCATTGTCACAATCATCTAAAGATTATGCTCTCCCACCCAAGGTGGTGCCTAGGACTAAAATGTCACTTTTTAGGGACATGAGAATAATTATGTTTAGTTATTATGAGTTTGGATGGTAGATTAGAGACCAAGGCATCTGGAAAACACATTTAAGACTGGAATTATAAGTAGAGTGTTCATCTGCTGTATTGTATATACAGAGGGTATGTGTGTGTGCACACAGGTGCATAAAAGATAGACAAGGGGGATGGAAAAGAGAATTGGAATGCAATGTGGGTGGCATTTGTCACAACGTAATGAAATTGCTGATAAGACAACATTAGGTTATAGTAACGCATGATTGCTATCAGAATTCACAGTTGTTACTTGAGCAGAGGGTATAGAGTTGAATTAGGAATTATGCTTGGACTGGGTATAAAGTAGATAAAGTGACTCAGGTACCAGAAATGGAGACATAAAAACATGTTTTCTAGTCCTTATAGACCTATAGAGTTAAGCTCCACCAAACCACTCAGTGCTTCCTATTGTGGTAGAGTAGTTGTGGCAGATTAAGACCATACTTGGGCCTTTTAGAGAAGGGTGATTAGTCCTCCTATCTAATATCAGAAAAAAAAAAACATTCAAAATTATGAATTTTCCAATCTGTGGGATAATAGAGCTCATTATACAAAGGACTTATCTTCCTATTTCTTCATGAAATTACCAATTACCAAAGGATTAAATGTATTAGGTGGGGGGGGAGGAAGAGAGAGAGAATTGAATTGTATGTATATAAATATATATATAAGTTAAACGACTTTGAGTAATAATCTTGTTTTGAACCTAGATAGATCTTTTTAATTTTCTTGTGATACTTTCATTCTGATATATAATAAAATTACATTTATCAATTTGGTACATGAAAAATTGTTATATAAGCTCCATGAAAACCAGAATTTGTTCAGTTATTGTAAAGGAAAATACATTTATAAACAGAAAAAAATTTGTATGTTAATAAATTTTCATAAAAAATTAGGCATTATAAATTAGTAAACACAAATAATTTAACCAACAAGAAAAAACCACTATTAAAATGTAATGAAATTCATTGTCATCTCTCTAGGCATATGATATTTGGTAGCCTACTTCTTTCATTTAATAATTTATCTTGAACATCTAAGAATGACTAAGAAAGTAATGAGTTAAAAAGTAATCCTTATTGGGATTGATCACAAAAATCTGCAAAGAGCTGATGAGACTCAACAACAAAGAAAATAATCCAGTCAAAAAATGGGCAGAAGAGCTAAAAAGAAACTTCTCTGAAGAAGAAATGCAAATGGCCAACAGGCATATGAAAAAATGTTCAACATCACTTGTAATCAGGGAAATGCAAATCAAAACTACCATGAGATACCATCTTACACCAGTGAGAATGGCACATATTGAAAAAACTAGCAACAACAAATGTTGGCAAGGGTGTGGAGAAAAAGGAACTCTTCTGCACTGTTGGTGGGAGTGCAAACTGGTCCAACCACTATGGAGAGCTGTGTGGAGATTTCTGGACCTACTAAACATAAAGCTTCCATATGTTCCAGCAATTCCACTCCTAGGTATTTACCCAAAGGACACAGAAACATCAATTCCAAAGAACACCTGCACCCCTATGTTTATAGCAGCACTATTTACAATAGCTAAGCTTTGGAAACAGCCCAAATGCCCAAAAATCGATGACTGGATCAAGAAGATGTGGTCCATATACACCATGGAATATTACTCAGCAGTCAAAAAGATAAAAACATGCAATTTGCAGCAACATGGATGGAGCTGGAAGGGATCATGCTCAGCGCAATAAGCCAGAAAGTAAAAGAAAAATACTGGATGGTCTCACTCATAGCAGGAATCTAGAAAACTTAAATAAGGGACCAGGAAAATGAATAACTATAAGAAAGTGAAAATCAAAATCAACAAAAAACTGTGAACCAGAGACACTTTTCGGGGGGGTGGGGGTGGGAGGGGAGGGATTGGGGTCAGAATGGGGGGGGTTGCAATTGTATGGGGAATATAAAAATAAAATTTATTATTTAAAAAAAAGTAATCCTTATTGAAAAATGTTTGTCAGTATACAAAGTAATTTATACTTACGTAAAATCTGTATCTTTTATACACATAAACATACATATGAAAACATTGTATTATGATTATGATTTCATAATTTCTCAAAGAAAGAGCTTAAAGGAAAGTAATTTATAGTATAATTAGGGAAAGACCACAACTCCAAACCACAGTTTCTGAAAGTTTAGCGTCAAATTGATGAACAAGCTCAAGATCTGTCACACATTTTTTGTAAAACAAAGCCATGTAGAATTTGGGAAAAATTCTTAAATTGTTAATGCCCCTTAAATGGTATATACTTTAGGGTATGGAAGATATAGAAAAGAGAACATCACGTTGAAGGTGACAAACACATAAGTGCAAGAAAGTGTACTTAAGTGAATGTTACTTTTTAACTTTCCAGTCTCTTATCTAAGAGAAATGACTTGCACCAAGACTAAGTAGGTTGGAAGATAGAAAGAGATGCCTTTAATTCAGCTTTACAGATAGTTTCAGCTTTATGGATGTTAAATGACAGGTGAGGTCCTCCCTGGTGGCACAAGGGGCTAAGTCACAACTATGAAGCTGTCCACAGCCACTGCAGCGTGAGTTTGATCCCAGGCCAGGGAGGTGACCCACTGTCTTGCCTGCTGCTCCCCTCAGCAGTGTATTTCAGTGAATCTGCCTGTTCTGCTCCCTGTTCTGTCTCTGGCGAATCCTCTCACTGCCCCTGCATCTCTGGCCTACACCCCAGCTCTTGTTTGCATAAACAAATAAATCTTTAAACAAAAAATGACAGGTGAAGCATCAAGTATTCAAGTGACCTATTTCTGTTTCAGTAATACTTCACAGATCATAAAACCAAGGAAAAAAAAGTTTTACTTCTTCCTATGTTGGTTTATCTTCAATGAAGTGTAGACCCAATATATATCACTGCAGAGTATTAAAAATTTAGAGGTGGAAGAAAAAAACTGAAGGTCTCAAATTGTTTTTTTCTGAAGAAACTAGAATAAGTAAAACAAAATAATATATATGCATATTCTATTTCATGATGAAATCAAACACTTCAGTAAAAAGGAAGTTTGACTCTAGTCTGAGATATCCCACAATGTAGCAGGGAAAATTGAATAAATACAATCTCTACATGCTGAAACCTCATGAATCTGTGTGATTACAAGTGTAAATAATCTCACAGACATCCAAAATGAATAAGAAAATAATTTACTAAGTGATGGAAATCAAGAAACCCCCTTAATTTGGATGTTTTATTTTTTTCTCATGGTTAGTTTGGAGTTACATGTTTCTGTTAAGACCATAGAGCTAAAGTACCATCTTACCACATAATAACAGTCTACTATCTATATGATTTACTACTTTGCTAACCTTGACTGCCTGACTGAGATAGTGCTGTCAGATTTCCCCACCATAAACTTACTTTTTGGCAATTTGTATTAAAGTGACAAATGCAACAATTCCTTGCATATATAAGAAAATAGCTGTAAGAGATTAATTTGTTTTACCTGTAACATGAACACTCCTCTTTCAATTGATTCCTAATTGCCTTTTATATATTTACATCCACCCCCTTTAACATGTTTTGTTAATTTAGCTTTTTTTGACTTTCTAGCATGCAAGATATTCTAGATTCGTCATATACATTTCCCATCCACTTCCTACAATCAGCCATTTCCCCAAGGTATTCTAATCCCTTTTGTTAGTGAATAGTATTAGAAATTAAAATATCATGTGCTCATTGCCACTGTAATATCTAGGTTCTCTATGCTGATAGAGCTAGAAAATATATATACTTATACATGTTTAATTACACATGTAGATACACAAATCTATAATATTTCTATATGTAACTGTTTATTATGTAAACATTATTTTGTTTCATTCCAAGAGTTTCCATCTCTTTGCTTATATTACCCATCTGTAGTTACATGTCATCTATTTTTCTCCATTAGAACCTTTAACATATATGTCATCATTATTGTAATTTCCCTATTTGATAGTTTAATCATCTGCATCATAGCTGATTCTAGTTTGATGTTTGTTTTGTCCTTTCAGTCTGTACTTTTTCATCCTTTTTGGACTACCTTTTAATTTTTTTGTTGAAAGCTAGACATGTTTTATCAAGTAAGAATTGAAGTAAATAGGCCTTTAGTGTGAAGATTTACATTAATCTGTTAATTGTTAGAATTTTAAATATTTAATGTGCCTATAGTTTTATGTGCCCAAGGCTTCAGATTCCTCTAGTGCCCTTGTTT